CATATGAAAGCATTTCAGAGCACTATACAAACACCACACAGCGATGCACCCGAATGAAACTTATAGACGATTCACTTGTTCCACTGTCTAACGTTATCAATTTCTTAAAAGAAAGTGGATTTCTCCATAAGCTTTAGAATTAAAATGTATATACTGGTTATCACTAGGTACCTGGTGTTTGGCCCAGCTTAGCCAGTGTCACTCTTGTGCCAATAAATCCAATATAATTAACTAACTGTACATTTGTACCTTACAAGCAGACTATTTAGGTTAAATACGTGCGAGACTTCTTAGTCGTACTAGCCACTGCTGTGACAACTTTGATAAGTGACTGATTGCATTGAGCACTTTCATTAGCTTTCACATCGCTTATGTCATAAGAACAAGCATTTTAGATGTTAATTCATTTAGCTTATTCGATTTTGAAAATTTTTATGTGGCTACTTCTGCAAAATATGAAAACAACACTAGGTGTTTAAAAACCATCCATTTGCCCAAATATAATTCTTGCAATTTGAAGGGATTGCATGTGCAATATGTTTAATAATAAATATTAAGAAGCTTAAATGTTGCATTAAATTCAGGAGTTGTTTGAAATATTTTGCTGTTTGCTCCACCAATAGCTGCTCTCGGCTAGTGTTTTTTCTGCTCGAAATACCATCAAAGCTGCTCCAAGGCACCACTTTTCCTGCTCCAGAATCTGCTCCGAAAATCAAAATGTCACTTCCATCACTGAGTTATATCAAATGAGAACATTGGAGTCGTTCATGTTAAAAATTTATTGCATCTTTGAGATTTTGAAAAGTGGCCCGTGGTAATACTTGCAATGGGATGAAATTTAGCCAAATTCAATGGTAAAACCAAAGCCAAAGCATGGAAGAGCGCAACTGTCAAATTATTCCGTGATGTCCTAAGTGAGCGTCTTTATATCAACCATCAACAGGCTCCGTTTTGTGGGTGTGCAGGCTCCCTATAATACAAAAGTGCTCGGCGCAACGCTGGCCCAAGGTCTTTGGCCGACGCTGGGCTTAGCTCGGCTGCACAAGTCTGCCCACATATGGGGATTTACACTGGCCTCACATTGACCCATGTTATAGTCACTGACATAGGGCCGACCACATTGGCCGACCTGGCCAAGTGCCAGCCTCCGTAGGGCCACGTTCGGCCTAGCGAAAATTATTTGGCTCATTTTGCACTGTTTTTTTCATTTATTTTTCACTCTTGATCATCATCTAGCCAGGGATGGGATATTTTAATTGCGTTGGGCTCATTTATTATCTGTGTGAGTTAAGCATCTAAAGCTTTGTAGTCTTCAACTGAATCGAGCTGGATAGCGATCGAGAGTGGCCGTGCGACGCCTGCGTTAAGCGCGCATCTCGTATTACGCTAGTATTATAATCGCGGCTCACGACAACTAATGAGAATCGTCGTTCACCAACCCGTCGTGTCCAACATTCTTTTCACTTAAGGTTTCAAAGCTACACTCGATTCACGCACTAGCAGTAACACCTCGCTGATTCAAATAGTTCTAGTTTAAGGGGAGATGCTACTCGAAGACACTTTTTTTTTATAATTCACCCTAGAGCGATGAAACTCGAGCAGTTTATGGAACTGTTTATGCTGATTTCAAATATATAATTAGTTTTCTTGCAAGTTACTTACCTTTAGCTCTGCAAAATGACTAATTGAATACTTTAACCCTTTTGCCCCCCCCCCTCTTTTCATCGTCCCGCCGTGGTGGTCTAGTGGCTAAGGTACTCGGCTGCTGACCCGCAGGTCGCGGGTTCAAATCCTGGCTGCGGCGGCTGCATTTCCGATGGAGGCGGTAATGTTGTAGGCCCGTGTGCTCAGATTTGGGTGCACGTTAAAGAACCCCAGGTGGTAGAAATTTCCGGAGCCCTCCACTACGGCGTCTTTCATAATCACATAGTGGTTTTGGGACGTTAAACCCCACATATCATATCAATCAATCAACCCCTCTTTTCATCCCTGAACTTCCGTAATTTTTTACCATTCATAGTTCATAATGTTTGAAATAAAGTGTAGAATGCAAATAACTAATTAGGAAGCACATATAAAATATGTAATAGACGTGAAAAAATAATAGACGTAAAAAGTCCATATTTCACCTACCCTAGTAAAAGTTTACATAAAATTTTTTTATTATACAATAAAATATTTAAATTTAAACTAGATAATTGCATTCGCCATACTTTGGAAAAAATGTGGGCGAAATTTCATGCAGACTCGAGCATTAGAAGTGCCCGAAAAAAGAGGGGCACATTGAAAAAATAGCAAAATTTATGTTTTGAGAAAACCGAGTTTTTAAGTTAAAATTGAGTTTTTATTAGTGAAAGATTATCATTAAATCTGACGAAATTTGTACATCAAAAAGAACAATCCTTCTTGTAGTGGCCACTGCGACTAAAATACACCAGCCCCAATGAGTTTGTCCTTCTCTGCTTTTCCGAGCCGACTCCTCACAGACATTTCGCTCACAGACAGGGCCATGAAACGCTTGCCAAACTTCCGCTCCATCTGGCAGAGCCTTGTGCCAACTGCAAGCTAGGAAGAAGTTCGACAGATTTGCGAAATACAAACTAAGTCCAGTGTCATGCCATTTTGCGGCCATGTTTGTGCCACATACTGTCGTACATAATGTCAATGTCGTCCCTACTAAGTTCTCCCACTGCGAGCTCTTGTGACCTCGCAAGATTGGTACTGACGTCATCCATTGCCGCATCACGAACTTTCCGGCTGACGGGTGTGAATGACTTTTGATGCATTGGTTTTTGCAAGCCAACAACTGCCGCAAATTGGACCAGCTGCTCGTAGCCTATTCCTACAGAGTGTGCTGCCATGACGGCTTTCACACACAAGCAATGGCTTTTTTCATTCATAACGAAGATAAATACACGAGACAAGAATTGTTCAGCTGCGCTGCTCGTCAAGACATGGACCACGCAAGTAGGCTTCACAGCACATACAGGCGCGCAACGGCCTATGGAGGTCTCCAATCCATACCACGGGACAAGCCAGTCGCGGCGCTCGAGAAACGCGCAGAAGCGTGCTTCTTTTTATTATTTCTTGCACCGCATCAGTGAGGGAAACTGTTGTGGCTTAAAGAGTGAGACTCGACTCTTCGGCTAATGTGATCAACAATGGCGAGCGGCGGCGCATTATCGGCGGCAAGGTGCTCGAAGACTGCACACTTTGGACTTTTTAACAGGCACCTTGTGCTCTTTAGATTCAATTTTAAAGCATTTCTAGTTAAGTCTCGACCTGTATATTTTTTTCATAACAGTAGAGGTACTATTCTTGTCAGAACAGGTAAAAATAAAAAATCGGTAATTTTGAAAAAAACTCACGTTTTTTGACCCGCATCTCCCCTCAAACTCACCCTTTATTTTTAGCGTTTTAACTGCCAGACTAATTTGGACGTATGCAGCTAACACATATGCTGCCCAACTCTGCATGTATAATGTATTCACTACTACATCTGTGGTTAATATAAATAGAGCAAGTTTTGCAGTGCCGTGGACAGATTTTAAAAAATCCAAGCGCATGGGGGGGCGTCAGCAGAGAAGTGGAAAAGAAGCCCTTGCCCCCCTCAAGCCACAGCAGCACTTGCCCTCACCTAAGCTAGACCAGTGCTATCGCTCTCCCAAAGCTGCAACGCAACAATGGTTTGCACCCCCAAGAGAAAATCCTGCCGACGACAACATGGCCAAACGTTTATTCCTTCCGACTGAACACTAATCTTTCTATAGTAACACCCGCTGCACCCACGTCTAGTTGCATGGGTTCTACGTAGTACAATTCAACACAGAATGCATTTGCTGCCGCATTTCTCGAGACCAACAGGCAGCATGGCTACATTACCGAAGAAGTGCGGCGAGAATGACAACAGCAGTTGTCAACCCCGCTTGATCTGCCCGGAATCTGCGTAGCGTTGGCTTCTCCGCAGTGCAAATGAACCACCTATGAGTACGTGATGGCACTCGGCGAATAGGGGCGCTGTACTCCTGTAGGCGGAGCGAGCGGCGCCCGGAAAACAGTGGCGCAACTCTGCTACCTAAAGGTAGCATATACAGTAACTCTATTTCTGCGAATTTCTATGAAGAAATAAAAATATAACTCCACTTTTCACGAAAAAAAAAAAAAAAACAGGATTGGTTTGAGTCGCTGCGAGAGACAATCTTTCCATCCGTGCAGTCATCTCATTTCATGTTCTGGACAGTTGTCGCTTTCTTTAAGAGAATATTTAGATGCAAAGCTCTGGAAGCCACCGGCTGTAAACTCCGCCCACCGCCGGCGATCGCCATTTGCCATGGCAAACGTTGTTATGTGCAGCAAGAAGTGTAGCCATCATCTTCTACCATAGTTTCAGCCTCTGCGAATAATTCGATTTCAGTGCCAAGCTGAAGAAAGCTAAAATATATTGATTTCATGCACAGCTGGCCACAGAGAAATATCGTCCGCCTGAATGTGGATGCTCACACAGCTAGATGCTTGTTGCGTCATGACTTGCGAGTGTGCCAGTGGTACCCGATTCTAAGGCTGCTCGCTTATTTATAAAAATATTTAACTATAAATCAAGCGCTTTTTTATCAGCCTATCCGCTAATACACAAGGATTAACCCACATGCCCGAATTATGATGAAAATTGGGCATCGTCATTTAAGGTTCCTGTGACTACGGAAGAAGTAATTGTGAAGGAATGAAACATATATTGCATTTACCTGATTTTTGAGGACTTTAGACACCTTTCTTGAAACACTTGGTGCATATGTGTGTATAGCTTGAACACAACTACACATGATATGCCAATATGAAAATGAAGAAACTAGGGGCTAGTTGATCTAGTATATGCTTATTCTTAATGCTTGACTAATCAACCCCCTTTTTTTAGTGAATCTACATTGTGAATGTTTTTAGCTGTGTGTTTCTTCATCACCTTATTGTTGTTTTCTTTTCTCTGACATCTTTTGGTATTGCAGTCTCAGATCTGTTGCGAGTAGAGAAAATTGGCCCATTACAGTTCTTGCAGGATGGCTGAAAACCCCTTTGTTGCTTCTCAAGGAACTGCCTCTGGTATGTATGTGCTGCAGCTTGTTGCATCGATATACTTTAGTTCATGGACAAGCGGTATAACTTTCTTAGGGGTAGTTTTTCAATAGAGAAAGTTTAGCTGGAGTAGTGTGCTGATAGAACCATGCTCCAATACCTGTGAAGGATGGCAGTTCACTGTGTGCTGTATGCTGAAAAATAATTTGTGCCTAATGAAAGAACTGTCAAAAAGTCCAGAAATATTTAGATTAGGGCACATAATGATAAATAGCACACTGTGTACACTATAGTGTTTAAAAAGCCATATGCGTAAAAGCTACAAGAAGTTTGAGATACCACAGCCTAGACATGATAGAACTGTTGAAGGGCCACTAAAGAGAAACATTGTCACAAGTTAGCTTGGTGAGGTGTTGTTTCAAAAGTGTTTGCATTTAATGGCACGGAAACACCTGAACGAAATACAAGTAAAAATATTGCCGCACGTCTGGTCTTTGTTTTGTATTAGCCTCCATGCAGTAATGTTTTTTGGATGTTGCAGCTTTCATTGTTTTTTTTTTGTATTTGGGCCTTCTTTATAAAAGTATTCCCATGACATGTGAGGCTGTTTTTTTGCATTCCTGTCACGATGTACATTCCTGTAGCATTCCCATTTTCATTCCCGTTGTACATGTAATCTTTTATTACTGAGAAATGCTCATCTGGTACTCAGTATAACACACAATATTATGGGGAGATAACTTGAATATCAGTGTTCAGCACCTTCGTGTCTTTCATTCTTGCATTCTTTCTGGCCCTTTTTTGCAAGCACTTGATTGATGTTTTCAAGATTACCTTCGAATATGACTATATTTAATATTTTCAGTGAGCTATTATAGTTGGTGTACAGATGCATTCAGATGCATGCACATGCGATAGATCTCATCTTCATACCAGAGACACTGGTGCAATAGCACCAGAGAGGTTTACACTGCATCTGTTTCCTGTGATGTCACTTCGCTGCATCTATTTGGGATTGTGCCAAAGGTGTTGAGCAGCATCATGAGACATTGCGATATCCTTTGTTGGTTGGTATGCTATGACATCGCAATAACTGGTTAACATTAGGTATCAGTAACCTTTGTCAGCCAACAAAGACAAAACACAATTGATGTGTATCACATTTTGTTTCATGGATTCCACAAAAGCCCTGTAGAAGCCAAGCTTTCTGGCTGGTGTGGGCACAGTCACGTCGGATAAGACTGATTTCACTATGAACTTAAAGTAATCAGGAATGTTGCTTGCTGTAATTTGAGACAAAATAAGTTTAGTCTTATTTTACTTTTGAATGCAAACTTCATTGTGTTGTTTTAATACTTTCAGTGCTGTTACTCATGCTCAAATTTGTGTTATGCTAGTGATTGTACACATAAGCTTTGCTTCATTTTCATTGTATACTGTTGCTGATGGCAGCCACACACATACAGAATTTTTATGCTGTCCTGTGTAAGTGCATATAAAATGAAGTCAATTTAACTCCGTGCACAATGAATATTGCCGATGGACTTTTACTGTAATTGGTAGCATGTGTCTGGTAATCCTGAAACTTAATAGGGATTACCCATGCCCTAACTTACATAACTAATATTATAATTGTTAGTTGTGTACCAATTTTAATGTCACTTCGAAACGCCCATGCCTACATTGCCACAGCCTGCAAATTTTCTTAGACATTGACAGTGCTTGCATTACTTGTGGAACATCACACGGGGTTCCTGAGCTTTGTCAAAGCAGTGGCGGTGTTGCCAATGCTTAGTACAATGTGCAGCTTAAAATATTGCTGGTGATAACTGAAGCGGCGTACTATTGCATACCTTCAAGAATGGGAAAACTGAATATTCCGCTGCACAATATTTTTCACTTTCCTTGTCACGGTAAACTTCTACAATGAAACTGGTAATGAGTGAAAAATTTTGTACGCAAATGGCTCATTTTCAACTTAATAATGTGAAAAGATATTTTTTCAATAGTGCTGATTACTGATTCAGCATGACTTTCGCACTTTCTCAAACCTGACACATGCAGACTCTGTCTGACCAGATGTGGATATATCGGCTTGGCTCTGCCCGGCAGTTGGCTGTCATAACTGTGCCATGCACGAGTCAACCCATTTCTAGGGAGCTGTTAGGAGCTTAATATTGAGTTGGACAATGCAGGTTTGGGAGTATGTCCTTGTACACTGTGGATGGTGCAGTCCAAGCTGGCCGGTGCATTGGCTTGTTTACCATGCACTTAAAAGAGGTAATTACTGGATCCACCCCAGTACTCCATTCACCCTATCACAAATTATTCTTGGGAGCATCGTCACACTGCTTTTGTTTATTTAATTTGTCCAATTTTCACCTCCATCTAATTCTTGCTCATATTCCGCATGTTGCAGGACATTTTTTGGAATATCCCAGAAGCTTTGACCCAACTGAGAGTGCGGACATCAACATGCAGTTCATCGGAACCTGTTCAAAGGTCAACCTGACTTGCTTGTTCCAGTGTACCTATCAAGTTCTCAAGGCAAACAGTCCTGCCAGTGACCTCCCTGTGGTTGTGGGCCTCAATAAACAGCCCGAGGATGTTGTTTCATTCTGTCAGGAAAATGCACACAGCATTGTGTCTGAAATTGGTGCAGCTATTGACAAGTGTCTACTGCAGGCTCTGGGAAAAGACATTAACGATGCTGGCCTGTATGGGTTAGCCTTTGTTAGATGTGGAGAATTCGAGGATGCTGCATTTATTACCTTTGTAAAGAACAACCAGCTAGTTATCAAATACCTTGTTTCTTTTAAGCAAGGTATGGCTTCAAGCTTTGCTGATGTACTTAATATGAGGTTGCACAAATTGGGTGTATCAGATTCTTGTCGGCTGGTAGCAGCAACTGTTGACAGAGATTGCTTTCATATGGACGAGATTGAGGCCTTATTAAATGCAAAAAAAGACCGCACTAATGCGCTTCTCGAGTTTCACTGTGTCATCTACAAGTTAGAATCTGTGCTCGGTCATGCACTACAGAAGTCGATGCTGGACGATCCTCAGGTAGCCATTATAGCCAACCTTTGCAACATGCTGAAGAACCTGGCTCTAGCTGATGACCTCAACCTGGGAGATGCAATGTTTCAAGGCCCAGAGTCATCCACGAGCACGTTTTTCAACTACAAGACGCTGGTTACACTGCATAATCACTGGTTGGACATTGTGACCAAACTGAACAAAGTTTTAGTGGACTCACTCGTGGAAGATGACCGTCAGGTAATTTCTTTCATTTTAGCCACCCTCAAGTCGACGACATTCATTGTGAACCTGGCATTTTACATAGAACTTTTCCGAAGTCTACATGAATGGACAAGCCGAGTGGTGGCTCTGGGCATTCCTGCTTACCAAGTACTCAATGAGTTACAGGGTGCCTCAAGTACGCTTCGGCATCACACTTCCACTGGTGGCGTTCGTGTTGAAGAGCTGCTTGAGGAACTGCGACAGAGCTGTGGGCGCTACCGTGGGGTTGACATCAGTTGTGATCTGGACGAGGCACTATTCACAGCCACTATGAACAAGGTGTGCAGCCTCATGGCTGAGATCCTAGATGATATTGTGCGCCAAACCACCCCATCCATTAGCAAGTTTAGCATTTTGGACCCTAAGGTGTGGCCGGTAGACTCATGTCAGTTGGATGACTTCGGTTTCGACTCTATAAAGGTGTTGGCACGGGAGTATCGCTACTCACTGCTGGACAGTGTAGACGTGTTCCAAGAATGGGGATCATACAAGCGAACCGTACATAATTCATTCGTGACGCAGCTGAGAGACAACTTCGATGCCCTTGCCGTGAGAATGGTGTCCTCTTTCAAAAGCTTGTATCCTGGCATGGTGACACTGCTGAGTGCGGTAACGCTTCTGTGTCCAGCATCTAAGGTCCTTCAAAATTGCACCCAGCTCCTCTTGGAGGGCGAGCAGAGTGAAGATGTGCGAAACATACAGATCAACGGTCCCCCCGTAGAGTCGTGGTCAGCAGCTGCAGCGCTGTCATATTTGTTGCAAGACCACTGTGTTCAACAAACTGCTCAGTTTTCTGACAAAGTTTGTGACATCGTGTTGCCTTTAGAAGCTGTTAGGAGCTTGTTTGGGAACACTGTTTAGACTCTGTTTAGTAAGTTTTGTTGACTGCAATACCATCGAAACCATCAGCTGTACATAATTGATTTCATTTATTTTTAATCAACAACTTATCAACAGCACAACCATGTGTCTCATCTGTCCGATGAGGCACATGGCTGACATTTCCACCAATGTGAATTTCCACCATCTTGCCCAGTAATAAAAATGGGTGACGCAGTAGTTGAGAATAGGAAGCAAATTCTAATTTTAGGGCTGAAGCTTTTTAGGACCTAGCCTTGTCTTCTATTGTAGTCATGAATTAGGACTGTTGCTGTAGTTGAAACATATGCGAGACACAAAAAAAGGTTTTACAATAAAATTCAAGATCACTGTTCCCAGAGAAAATAACCTATTGAGAAGAGTATTGAGTTGATCTCTACTAAAATGTGACAAGATGTTGAAGCTTCTCAAGGAAACCTGTAACACCAAGGCACATGTTGAGCATATATGTCCCAACAAATTACCCTAATTAAAATGGCATCTTGCCTCCAGTAAGACAGCGGGCTCTTGGATTTACTTTCGAGGCATATCTTCCACTCCAGCAATTTTTAAAGTCTTTTTTGAGTTGCCTTAGATGACTGGAAGACAAAATGAACTTGCATTCCTGTATACACTTTGTCACTCAGATAACATTATATGGGGCATTGCACGGGTAACGTACGGTTACTCACGAATACAATATCCAAAGCCTCACCTACTCATCACGATTCACTTCGTGGAAATTCGAGGATCTTTTTCTTCATGTTCAAGATGGCTAATATTGTCGTATAGATCATACTGGTCTTGAATGAAGAAACAGCGCCGTTTCTCCATCTAAAATCAATGTGTACCAACTAGCCCAATTCAAGACAATAATACAAATCATGCTGGATGCCTGACTTTGTGCCACATATTTCAGCCGAGAGTTTTGGGCTATCTCTTTCTGATCTTTTCGGAATTTGTGCCTAGTATTTTTATATTGTGATGTTACCTTTGCCTGTCTATACTTTGGTCCTGTCAATGTCTATATCTTTTTTTCCACACATACTCATTTAGCGATTTCGACTTGACTCCTGAAAAGTTAATAGGGTCTTCTAGCGAGCTACAGTAATATGGTGTGCATATGCAGTACAGTGTTAACCTAACGCTCCTCCTTTCCCGGTCGTCGGCTAATTGCCAGTAAAAGCGACCCAACAAAACAAAATCTTTCTCAAAAATAAATGTGGGGCGGTGAAGCCTCACTGTTGCCTGTCAGTCTACGCATTTTTAACGAGACACCTGTCATTCGGGGGACGGACTTCTTCAGAACAGGGAGTGGCAAAAGCACTAGTTGGAAATAGTTGGAAAGGAGGAGTGCTACTGTACTGCCTTCCCATATTTGCGTACGGTATATCTGCAAGTTGTTTCAAAACCCCAATGCTTCTGCTTGCTCTGAATCTCTATGCATTTATCTTGTTGTGTGTTGTTGCGACTGTTTTCTCCAGTATTTTCTTTCTCTCTGGCAGCCAGCTTGCATCTCTTAGAGCAAAGCCCTGTGCTTTGACATTTCTTAGATATTTCTCCTCATTTCTTTTTCGTTGTATTTGTTAATCTGTATGTTTCTCTTGATCCTGGTTGCCTATTTATGCATTCAAATACTACCATATACTTGTTTGCCAATTTACTTGACCTCTTCCTCCATTCTATTATGTGTCCACACTAGTTTAGCCATCCATTTCTTCTCCTTTTTGTGGATGGACCGAAGGGAGCATTCCCTTTGAATTGGGGTGGCAACAAGTGCCACCTAGCTCTTTTTTAGCCTTCTTGATTTCTACAGATTATGCTACTGAGTTTTCTTACTCCCCGTAGTTTTACGCCACCTATCTTTCAGCCTTCCCTTGTCTTTACAGTAGATACACATATGTTAACAAACTGTCTTTGAATTCCAACATCTCAGGCAGACTTACTTTTTTTGTGGCTATTGGTTTGATATCTTGTCATTCAACTGGTCCCTTTCCACATATTAGGCGTGATTTGGCCTCATTGGAAAATTTTTCGTAGCTTCGCATTCTGAGGTATTCTGATCTGGCCGTAAAGGGGCACTGCCACAAAAACTTTAACCTCGCGTTTCTTTTCTGCTATGTATTGCTGGGAGCCTGGTATTCATAACATGGCACATCGTTTGCTGCAGCATGTAATAAATAATTACTGCCCCTCATTATTGACCAGTTTCAGCTCGTTTGAGAGAGCTCCAAAAATGACAAGCTGGATGGATGGATGGATGGATGGATATAGCTGTACCCTTTAGATCGCGCGGTGGCTAGTGCCACCAAGCCGTAATACTTAATGAACCATAAAACTAGATTTATTTTTTTTCCCCCTTTAAATAGTGACGTTGAGGATTCGTACTTTGCACTGAAGGGTTTAATTTTCATTCATGCCTTGACTTTAGCCACCAATCAGATAACCTCCTTCTAGTTAATTCTACCCGCTTAGTCTATTTTGCCCTCCCTGTCCCTAAACCCCAGTGCTTTGAAGAACTCTGCGCCATCATCCTGAACTATAGGGTGAATCCCTTTACAGAACATTATCAAGTGTTCGGCAGTTTCTTCTTCCTCTCCACACGCACTGCATACCGTGTCTACTTCTTCGTGTTTGGCCCGATAAGTCTTGGTTCACAATACTCCCGTCCTGGCCTCAAACAGTAGAGAACTACCCCGAGTATTATCATAGATCCTTTCCTTGGCAATTTCCTGCTTAAAAGTTCGATATATCTCTAGTGTGGACATCTTAATCATGCCAATTCTCCACATGTCGGTCCCAGCCTCCTTCAACTTCTTCTTACCCGATAATTCTTTTTGGTTTGACCCCCTGCTGTTTTCTAAGTATTTACCAGTCAATTTTCTGGTTCGCTTCCTCCATTTTGTATCGACATTCTTCATGTTCAAGTAGCTGAAAACCTTCCTTGCCCAACGCTCCTCCCCTATTTCTCTCAATCGCTTCTCAAATTTTACCTTGCTGCTAGCTTCCCTGCCCTCAAATGATGTCCATTCTATATCACCTTGTACTCCCTGATTTGGTGTATTCCCGTGAGCTCCTAAGGCAAGCCTACCTATTCCACGTTGCTTAATTTCTAATTTTGCTTGAACTTCTAATCTCATGCACAAGACTGCATTGCCGAACGTCGGACCAGGAGCCATGACCCCTTTCCATATTCCTCTCACAATATCATACCTATTGTAATTCCACCGTGCCCTGTTTTTCATTACCGCTGCGTTCCTGTTACCTTTAGTCGTCACGTGTGTTTCGTGTTCCGTTACGTACTCGGCCCCATTGCTTTTCCATACGCCCAGATATTTGTATTTATCTGTTATCTCTAGCATGACCTCCTGTATTCTAAGCTCACTACCTTCATTGTCAATAAAAATCATGACTGCTGATTTTTCCCTACTGATTTTGAAATCTAACCTATCTCCCTCAGTACCGCAGATGTCCACCAATCTCTTCAAATCTTCCTTGCTGTCGGCCATTAGCACTATATCATCTGCGTACATCAATGCTGGTAGTGCCTGTTCAATGAGTTTTCCTTGTTTGACGAAAGAAAGGCTGAAGTCCAGTCCACTTCCCTCTAATTTGGCCTCTAATCCTTATAGGTACATCATGAATAATAAGGGTGACAGGGGACACCCCTGCCTAAGCACCCGTTTTACTTCTGCAGGCTTGGATACCTGTTTTTTCCACTTTATAACTACCTTGTTACCTTTATAGATATCCTTTAAAAGATTAGTGACTACATCTTCCACGCCTAGTGTGTCCAGTATTCCCCACAATTCCTCTTGAACCACGCTATCTATCGTACGCTCCCTTGATATCCAAAAATGCTAGCCATAGGGGCCTGCGTTCTTTTTCTGCTATTTCTATGCACTGCGTCAGTGAGAACAGATTGTCTTCCAACCTCCTGTGTTTCCGAAACCCATTCTGTAGTTCCCCCAGCACCCCCTCATCCTCTATCCATGCCTGCAGTCTTTCCTTTATAATCTGCATTGCCAGCCTGTAGATCACTGATGTCACTGTTATAGGACGGTAGTTGTTTATGTCAGTTTTGTCCCCCTTTCCTTTATAGATCATGTTCATCCTGCTAAGTTTCCATCCATTGGGAACTTCTCCATCGATTATTATTTTGTTCACTGCCTCTCTCAAAGCCTGCTTAGACTTCGAACCTAATGTCTTTATCAGCATAATTGGAATCCCATCTGAGCCTGTTGATGTACTACTAGGACCCCTTTTCTCAGCCCTTTCCCACTCTTGTTGTGAAAATTGAGGCATTGCGCCACTTGATCCATCCTTGTCTATTGTGGTGCATAAAGCACTTCTTTGTTGAAACTTTTCTGTCGCCCTTGTTCTTATATATTCAATAGCTTCGTCCCCTTCTAGCCTAGCACCTTGAGCTGTAGTTATAAACCTCTGCTCTAGGCTCGTCTCATTTCTTAGGGAGTTTAGATGGTTCCACAATTTCGCAGCTGCCTTTCTATCTTTTTTATGTACTTCTGCCAGCCACTGAGCCCCCTTTCTTCTAATCTTTTCATTGATCAGGAGGGATGCATCCCTTCTACAGCTTAGAAAGATTTCCCATTTTCTTTCAACATCATCTGTCGGTTCACTCCGCTGCTTAGCATGTCTGTGTTCCCTAGAGGCTTCCTGACGTTTTGCTATGGCTCTCTTAACTTTCTCATCCCACCAACTTTTGGGTTTGTGTCTTTTCCAGGGTGACTTGTCACGTGCTTTAGCAAGCTCTAGCTCAAACAGTCTAATTAGATTCGTGTATGTCCACACTGTTTTATTATCCTCGGTGATTACTTTCTCAATTTGTTTAGTGGCTATTTCAATTTGCCTTTCTGAATAAAAATATTCCTGTAGCTGCTCATCTTGTCTCCTTCCCACTTTCATTGCTCTTCCAAAACTTAGCTTGATACGTTTGTGATCACTACCCAGACTTCTGGAGCCACCTTCATCTATGTGCGTTCCCCTGAGCTTGTCATATATCCTATGTGACGTCAGTGCGTAATCTATCGTCAACTGCAGCCTTCCTACCTCCCATGTTAATTGCCCTTCACACTTCTGGGTACTGTTGCAAATGATGAAATCAAGCCTTTCACACATATCCGTGATGGGAAACGAAGAGGCAGATGCTGAAGCTAAAAATGCCTTAAGCAGTGCCCCTGAAGTACGCATTGCGTTTTCACGAGCTGACACGAACGCCCTGCTTCGCTGCGTGATGCACAGCTACACACTTCAGCACTGGACCAAACCCGAACGGCGACACCAGCGACTTCACAAATGGGACCCGGAAATGAGGTTCCGCATGCCCCCTAAATTGAAACGGCAACACACAAGTATGATCCACCGCATTCGTCTTGATGTAGCGTACACCAGACGTTACGCACATATAATCGGTCGCTGTGACACCGGTCCTAAATGTGAACACTGTGATGTGTCAGAAACGCTTGAGCACATATTTTGTGTCTGCCCAGCATACGCACTTGAAAGACAAACACTGATTTATTCTACTGAACTATATCGCAGTAGGTCATTAACTGATGAGACCATGTTGGGCCCTTGGCCAGACACCAACAGTGCAACTGCGGTCACAAGAGCAGTTATAACCTTTTTGGAAACAACTTCACTATGTGCGCGGCTATGAAATGTGTCTCAGCTTGACAGAACACTACATACTCACCGCTCTATCTCACCATCGTCATTCATTAATCTTTCTTTTCCCCTTTCCCTTCCCCCAGTGTAGAGTAGCAGGCTAGAGCAAACAGTCGCTCAGGCCGACCTCTCTGCCTTTCTGTAAATAAACTTACCTTCTCCTCCTCCTCATGATCATTTTGCCGCTAGCTGCCGTGAGCAACTAGCGCCACCCAGCGTGTGCAGCTCTTGACCAAGCCAGCACCCAGAACTGACGCACTTCCGCACAGTCTGCATCAAGAATTTCATTCGAATAGGAAATGGGACTGCAGTGTTGCCAGACAAAACTTTTCAATGCATGCGCCGCGGCCACGCTCTTGCAACCAACGTTTGTAGAACCTCGCGACCAACCTCCGAGAAGTATAGACTTCTGGAACAGGTGGAAAAAAAAAACAGCTATGATGTCATAACTTGTTTCATCGACTGCAGCATCGTGACATCACGGAAGGGTGTCCCCATGGGGTCCCTTTAAGTAGTGTCAATACCTTCAATATTCAAACTTCAAAATTGCTGTAAAATACTTTCCAAGCTATATTTGCAGTTGGTATTTTGTAGATGATATACGCATGTTGAGTGGTATCGATACTGCAGGCTATCTCAGCTGCGAAACTTTGTGTCGGTACCCCTTTAAAGAGTGGGGAACTTCCCCTTGAATTGTCATAAAACATTTTTTTGTATTTCACTCTTTCTTTACTGATATACTTCTTGTGACCATTTTTTTCCCCATTGTCTCGGTCCGGTGCTCTGTTTCTGTCTTCATGTTTAGTACGCCCTATTACTGTTATCTCTTAGTTATTTACTGTTTGCTTCTTTGTCGTCCTCCACTGTGTGTCCACATTTTTTATATATAAGTACCTAACTATTCTAGATGCCCATCTCTTTTTTATACATTTCTCTCAGCCGTTTTGGGTAGCAGATTTTTCTCTGAGCTTCGCGAGCTTCGAAAGACTCCCAACCCATCGAGGTGTTGGGATGAAATGCTTTTCATTTCGATTCTGGTTTTGTTCCATCGCAAAAAGTTGCGCTTCGTTTCTATTCCAGTACAAAAAAAAGTTCCATAACTGTTTGTAATGGTTTTTATTTGCATACAAGATTTGAGGTTAAAGTAACAATTATTAGCGCTTCTCTTAAGAAAGTGGGACAGGGGCAAAACACTTTTTTTCCATGTTCCTCAGAGGAGCGTAAGTAACTATACCACGGATTCTTGCCAGCTTGTGCGAACTGGTACTCTTCTAATTATGCATAATGTTTATTTTCTCAAAAGTGAATGACAATATTCTTTGAGCAGGCCCAATGCCTTGTGTATAGGGAGGGAGCATGACGTCAGTGGCTGCACCTCGTCGAGTGATGGTGGGCTGACTCGCTGATCTGCATGACCACTGTTCTGACAAAACAAACTTCAGTGCCGAAAATGCCCCCTTCATGCTGGTCAGCGTGACAGGGCACTCGAATGACCACTTGTGAACATTTCTTGTCACAGTTTCGTTTTTAGCACCATATCAGTACATCT